TGCAGATCTGTTTGCCTAGGAGAGGGATGGTATCGTATCTCTGTGTGGTACTGCAGTCCCAGCGAGGCCATCGTATTCTTCAGAAGAGTTTTATTTAATGCCACTGCATGTGTGACAAGAAGTTAGATAACTAGAAACAAATTTGCTAGTGGTGTAATTTCATTGAGTAATAGAATCAAATTCATGTTAACAATGTGAAAACACTCATTTATTTCATCTCTCCATAACAAATGGTCCAGGGACGTCTTACAGCTCTCTCAATATTAGAAAATTGCTTTAAATACAGATGTTTTCCATTTAGAATTTAAGAACAGATGCGATTTTCATCAAAAGTAATTTATTTCTCAAATTTGGTGCATTTTCGTAAAGCCATTGAACAAAATTATTTCAAATTGTGATAAGGATAAAGTAATAAGCTCTTATATTTAGTAATTTCAATGACTGAGAATATCTTTTTACAGTTCTGTATTACATTACTGACACATGGATTCTATAGGCATGTCCTGCAAAAAGATCTGATAGTGTAAACCTCTGGTTGTACTCCATTGAACTTGCATGACTGGAAGTGCACAAATATTCGATTACTGTGGATTTGTTCGTCAGAAATCTCCTTCATTACTTAAGCTCACTTATCAATCCTAAAAAGCCATGCAGGACAGAGAGATGTTTATCTGCTTGCACTTCCAGGATGTGAAGTTTTTTCTTATATACTTGATACCTTCTGTGAAAGATATGTCCATTATTTTTGCTGAACACTACTAAAATGATAATGCTGTGTTTCTTTCAAGGAAGCTATATTGGAAGAGCAGGAAAAGAAGAAAAGCAAAAACTTGTATGTATATAAAAATTCGAGATCCTTTTAAAAGCGCTGTTTCAATGCAGATGGCACTGCTAATCTGTTTATCTCGTACTTCTAAAAACCATGTTAGAAAAGACCCCCTGGTGTCACAAAACAACCTACTGTATTGGCTGTGTCTTTTCTTTTTTCCTAGGGCAGTGACTATAAGCTTAAGAATTATTGCAAATATCCTTGTGCTTCTCTCGCTTGCTGGAAGTATTTACATCATTTACTTTGTTGTGGATCGATCCCAAAAGTTAGAGCACGCCAAAAAGGAATTGACTCTTTGGGAAAAAAACGAGGTACGCTGTCTTTATGCTGCTGCTGTATAGAAGCAGGGTTATTTTCTCAGGGCTCTCTGTAGCAACAGTGTGCACTGAGGTGTAAATCGCAAGAGATTAGCCAGGAGAAATGAAGGATGAGAGGGCAGAGCCGTGTGGATACCTGCATCTCCCTTTGCACACTTGCTCCTTTCTTTCTCCCTTCATCTTGCAGAGCTAAAGCGGGTAGGAGGATGCTGCAGGTCCTCATTTCACAGAGACTGCAGTTCTAGCTGGCCTCTATTTTGTGAGGGCAACACATAAGCTCTCCTGTCACTCACAAATCTACTTTTGCACCCATGACTGAGCCGAGTGAACACTGGGCCAACAGACGGGAAAGGAATCAGCTTTGATAATAGGTACAGATATCAGCTGGGGGATACTGAATGTTCTGTGAATATTTCCATTCAGAGGAATGAGTGGATACTGAGAGTAGGAGGTGAATATAGGTATGGAGAAGCTACTGAACCATTTCAGAGGAAGGTGCTGGCTTTCATGTCTTCCGCATGTCAAGTTTTATTTTAATTAATAAAGTAGTAACTTTAAAGCTCAATGTCTGCAGTAAAGATTCCTCAGTGGTATTCCAGATCTATAATTTTGGATCATAACTACTGTTATTACTAACGTAAATAATAACTTTTTAAAGCATCTCTTCTAAGAAAAGCAATCACCAAAGCAAGTGCTTCAGCAGTATTCCAATCAGTACTCAAGGTACTGCAGAAGATCTACATGAAAAACTACAAAAATGCTGTGTGTCTCTGTTATGTAGGTAAGCGTAGTTGTGTCCCTGATTACAATGATTGCACCCTCTGCTTTTGAACTTGTGGCAGCTCTGGAGATGTATCATCCAAGGACCACTCTTCGCTTCCAGCTAGCCAGGTATGGCCATTATGCAGTGCAGAATATATGTGGGGAGAAAGGGAGGAAGAGGAGAGGTGTGTTGTGGTCGCATGTTTTAGTCCAGCCAAACCAGAGAATGTATGAGAAGCTGATGGGATAACAATGCTGGTAACCCATATCTCATTCTTCTTGTTTTCAGGGTTCTCGTTCTATACCTGGGAAACCTCTACAGTTTAATCATTGCTCTCCTGGATAAAGTGGACAGCATGAGTGGCACTGTAAGTTTAACTCTGATGTTTTCTGGTGTGTAAAGCTAGTGGACTTTATAGAGACAATTCCTTTTATTTTGATATGTATGAAGTCAGATCAAAATTTCTTTGAAATTGATTAAAACATATTGCAGTTTGATAGGATTGTAAAGTGAAGTTTAGTTTGTAATGTTCATTTACAACTACTTGTAGATTTTTTAAGATAACTGGATCCATTTGATTGCTAATGTATCAAAATAAATAGATTTTTGTGCATTGCTTACTACTTTAAAAAAAAAAAAAAGCCATTGCTTTAGACCAAGTATTTCCAGCTACCTAAAATCAGCTTTCTGTACTGTCCTTACAAGTTCCATCTGACTCTGTACATTGGCAACTACTTAAGTCACCTGACTGCTGCTTAAAAATACATGCCAAAACACCTCTACGTGTGTACATCGTAGGAGGTACAGATATCTGCATATGTGTACAGTTGAAAAAGTAGCTTTTGGAATATTTATTATTTCAGGACTCTGATGTTAACAACAATGCAAGTAATTCTACCACCACCTTAGCAACCAAAACTCTTTCTAAAGAAGACAATCTATCTACAACTATTCCTGATGTACAAATCAAGAGAAACGGCATTGTTGCGTTGGAAGAGAGTCATGCTCACGGCTCGATGGTCTCTGACTCGCTGGTTAACAAAACAATTTCCTTTAACACCCGGAACCCACAGGATCAGTGCTGGGAGACGTATGTTGGTCAAGTACGCAATTGTTTTATTACATCATCAACCTATTCCTTATCTACATTTGACAAAAAATTAAAAACATGTTGTGCTGTGTTAAATTTAAATTCTAGAATTTAGCTAAGGATTTTGTAGAAAGAGTAAAGACTATGCAAAGTGATATGGCCACAGATACAAGCTTCGTTTTTTGTTCAGTATCTGCAACATATTTAGTGTTGTACAAATGTTCTTTTGCCGGGCTTTGGTCTTTGTCTTCAGCTCTCCACAGGCAGATCTCCACAGATCCGTGATACAGATCCTATTTTAATAGGATGCATCCTATTAAGGTCATACAGAGAAACATGACTATAAAAACGTTTAAACAGTAACATGCACTCTGTGTGGATTCAGATTGCTGCCTGGATAGATGGGGATGCAGACCCGAGCCAAGCATGAGATTGTGCTCTTGGTCATTTGTACAACATCTCTGAAGTTTCTACTTGTTCTGTCTTGGTAAATCACTAGAGAATCAAGTGTTCTTCATTTCTTCCAAGAAAAAGAGGACTACAACAAAAGGTTTCAAAATACTGTCAGTCTATAAGAACCGACCCAGTTGGGTGGTAGTGCCATGTATGCATGTTCCCACATCAGATTGCAGAAAATCTGCAGACTTAACATGACATTCTTTTCTTCCGTACATGTGAAGTATACATAATCTGTGGCCTTTGCTTTGAGTGCCTGGAAGTGGCATTATAACACATACAGAGAGAAGTTTTAACCACACAAAATTCAAAAGATGTCATTTGACCCCAATGTACTTTGGTCTCTGTCAGTGTTCCATTTCTGTCTAGGCCACTAGATAAATAATTATGCTAGCATGCTTCTCACTTGCTGAGCTCCTTGTTCCAGACAGAGCAATATTAAAGGTCTTGTTTGACTATCTGGAGCAAAAGACCCCTCCTAGGTTTATTAGCCTGACTTCTATTCTTGTACACCCCTCTCCCTATTGCAAAATTTTCAGGAAATTTTTAGAATCAGTGTTCATGGGGTTTTTTGATTATTTTTCCCCAGAATGGGCCAGAAATGTTTGGAATTGAATCTTTTCTATTTAATTGTATGTTTTTAAAGCTCAATTAAATATAGGACAACCTCATTCATTTGCAAGCACTAAACAGATCTCTTTTATGGCTTGATGGATCCTACTGCTATTTGGTTTTGTATTAATAATAAGCAATTCTCATTGTGAAACGCTTAGCAAGTATGTATTACAACACTCAGTATAATAAAGGATTGGGTACAACAGAAAAAACAGCCCATTTCAGTTTATCTAGATAAATTTTCAGAACAGTCATTAAAAAGAAAGCTTGAAGCCATCATGGACAGAGTTTTATTGCTGCAAGCAATAGAAGGCACATTGTTCTCTTTGCTAGAATAAAGACAAGCAAGAGAAAAATCAAACAGGAAAAGCTTAAAAGGAAATAATTTATATATTCAAATCGTATTTTATCAGGATACTAAGCTTGAGACAAAATACAAGTACAAATGCAGAAGAGCCATATGGAGTCCATTTGCTTCCAGAATGACTCAGTATGTGTGAACAATATGTATTTCAGGAGATGCTAAAGCTTTCAATTATCGACATGATTTTCACAGTCGCAAGCATCCTGCTAATTGATTTTTTCCGTGGTCTGTGTGTTCGATATTTAAGTGATTGCTGGTGCTGGGATCTAGAAAGCAAATTTGTAAGTATAGTCTTTATTTTATCAAACTAAGATGCTGAAGATGGGTAGGCTCCTTCCCTTAGTACTAAACGTCCTTAAAGCCTTTCAACAGATAAATAATTTCTTGGTAGCGCACATCTATAAAGGCACAGCTCACGTTGAGTTTAAATTGGAGGGCACAGGGTAAATGCTGAGACTGGATGTTTTTCTCAAGCCTACTCCCATGACCGTGGTCCAAAAATCTTTGTCATTCCCAAAATGACATCATGGAGCAGTCTCAGAGTCAAAAATGAGACAGAGGGCACGGAGTTGCTTCCCACATCTTCTTTTCTGTAGCAGTAACATCTGTCTATAACAGATAGTGGTCTAAGAAACAATAACCAAAATCATATAGCCCTTGAAGAAAATTATGGCGACTAATGTTTGGTTAGCAAGAAGCTGTTGGCATGAAAGGCTGAGGCCTGTTCTTTGTCCTTAACTAAAGCAGTAAAGTAAACTAGAGAGAAATTAGTTTATTTAATCCCCTGCTGCAGAGTGATTTTTACTGTCTTCCCACTACCTGCCAAACATTCGTATTCGATCTGGACGTTTCAGGCTACGTGCTGTCTGCAAACTGACTCAGTCAAATGCTTCTAATAAATGATCTGAAAAAAAAAAGATTAAGGCAAGGTATTAATTGTACACTATGTTTCTTGTAGCCAGAATATGGAGAATTCAAAATTGCAGAGAATGTATTGCATTTGGTCTACAACCAAGGAATGATCTGGTATGTAGTCCATAAGCAATTTTTCTTGTCCTTTGTTGGCTGATTACTAAACCAATCTCGTGATTTCCAATGAAACCTATTCAAGTAGGACATTGGTAATGTAGTCTTTTATACTTATTATAGTAAGAGCTCATCTGTTTGTAGTGAGCTGTTATTTACCTGGGTTTTTTTGTATGTTCTTTTGCTATTAAAATTGCTTCTGGCAACACTGAGCACTGACACAATATTATTTTTCCAGGATGGGAGCTTTCTTTTCACCTTGCCTACCAGCATTCAATGTTCTCAAGTTGATTGGACTCATGTACCTGAGAAGCTGGGCTGTATTAACGTGTAACGTACCACATCAGCAGGTTTTCAGAGCATCTCGGTTAGTCAAAATAAGAACAAAAGATAAAGAATAAATCAAATGCAGACAATGGACATGTCTTCTGTGTATAGGAACAAAATGACAGGAGTTTTAGCTCTGAAAGTTGACAATCAAATTTGACAGTATATCAGTAATACTGATAGCAAAGGTCTGTGAAAAAAAACATAATTACTGAGAAACTGGAGGGTTTGTGAAGCGGGGTAGTTAAAGGTATGCAAGAACTGAAAAATACATCAGGGAAGAGATATTTTCCTAGATCAATTTACGTGGCCTAACGTAAATGCTTTATTTCCATACAAATCTGGTTGAGCACAATAACCTACATGTGTTAACTGTGGCAAGTCCTATTTCTTGATGTTTCTTTCTTTGAAAGCTATGAGTATCTGCTTTTGTCTGTTGCATTGCACAACAGCATTCCCCATTTTTCTTCTATTATGATGAATATCTTTTTTACTTGAAATGGAAGTAATTTAGGGCATTTTTAGTTCTTAACAATCACTTATTTCTAATGTGTTTTGAAGATCAATCTTTTTCTCTCCCAACACGACTGGGCAGTAAGGTCAGGTTTTGTAGAAGGGTGCTATAAACACATCTCTAGCTGCAGCAGCGGTATCTGGAAAGCAGTGAAAATAAGATTTTCATCATTAAGAGGCTGTTTAAACTGGCTCTGTTCAGACCTTCTAATCACAGCAGAATGATATTGATCTTTCAAAAATGCAGATCTTGAACTTGTTAGGTAGATACAGACTTGCACTTTTCCTGTTGCCTCTGGTTTTCTCTCTGATTAGTATAACCTGAAACATGTTATGCCTTCTTGCAGATCCAATAATTTCTATTTGGCCATGTTGCTGTTCATGTTGTTCTTATGCATGTTGCCAACAATTTTTGCTATTGCCCGATATAAGCCATCTTTAAGCTGTGGTCCCTTCAGGTAAGTTGTTATGGACTAATGAAAATTCCAAAGATCTTATTTCACCTCCTCACAATAAATTCATCAGGTTCAATAATACCCAAATTACTGGTTTTTAAAAAAAAAAAAAAAAAAATTATAGACAGGACAATGCTTTTCTGCTGCCAATGTTTTCCAGTTTAAGACTTAGAAAGTTGACATTTTCACTTAACTGAGTGAGACTTGACATTTTGCTTTAAATACATGGTTCAATTATCTTATGTTTACATAATGTAATGTGCCACTGAGCAGTCTAGCACACATCACCACCTTGTGTCTCAATTCAAGCACTCTCCAAGCCTGGCCAATGCTTTTGTGCTTTGGAAAAATTGTTAAAAAGCAAATCATGAAAGAGTTGTTTTTATCTTTTTTTTTTTTTTTTTTCACTATACTGTTCCAAAGTAGTTTTGGATTAAACTCTTTGTTCAGTGCAACACCGCTTAACAAACTGGTGTACCTGGGATTTTTGACAGCTTAATTTTATCTTTTTTTTTTTTTTTTTCTCCCCTCTCTTGTAGTGGACAAGAAAAAATATATGATATTGTTTCTGAAACAATTAAAAATGATTTTCCTACATGGTTCAACACAGTGATTACTTACATCAGCAGTCCTGTGGTTGTCCTCCCTGCACTACTACTTTTATTGTAAGTAGTTTGGTTTTCACAGGCAGGTTAAACTGACTGTATTAATACTGGCTCTGTCTCTGGAGAGTCAAATCTTGTTACTGAGGAACAAACATTAAATTACTGTAATTTTATTAAGCATATCTGAAAAAAAAACCATCTCATTGAATATACGGTATATGGATCAGACAGGAATGAGAGTATGTTAAGAAAATCTGTCATCACATGTTCAAAAGGAATTTCTTGTTCTGAGATACCATGTTAGAGCAAATTCATTACAATGTGTCAAGGCTTGCAGTGCTGCTGGTTCCAGGAAGTTTTAAGATCCTTCTTTCCTCTCAAGAGCTCCTCAGAAATTAATTTCTCATTTCCTCATGGTCATTAGTTCAGTTTACGACTGTGAACAGAGCTCAGTCTATCATTTAAAGAAGCTATTCAGTCATCCCGATTTCTGACAAGATAAATCAATTATGAAGGTCTGCGCTTAAGTGTTAATGTAATATAAGTTGCTGCAGGCTTTCCAGTGGAAGTCCTTTCTTACTCTAGTTTCTAAATTATTGTCCACAGCTGGGATTAATATTTACTTTGAGCTGTTTGAAATTCACTTTGCTTCTACGGAGTATCATTTGTCTTGCATGTACCATTGTATCATTTTTTTCCCCTGTAAACTACAGATGAACACAGAGTTTGTCCCACCAGTGGGCTTGTCAGACAAATCAAAATAGTGAAAAAATACTTCTTATTTGTAACTGTTTCCTCTAAGGTCCCTGCCATGTAAATATGAACATATTTACAAATTTAAGTAGATCTATTGACTGCTTAAAACTGATGGCTAAGCACATATGTAAATGTTTGTAGTGTGAAGTCTAGCTATTAAGACTTTACTTCATCTGAAAGCCAGTGTAATCCATTACGTCAGGCCAGATCTGATCTCGGCTGTGCCAGTGTAAACAAGGCGTGATTCCAGTCAGTCAACAAAATTACATTGATATGAGTGTGCAAACTCAGCTGTAATTCTACTGTCTCTGTTTTGTAACCTTGGACAAGCAAAAAAAGACAAGAAAATATTTACCAAAATTCTTATTTTGAATGTGTCCAGAATTTAAACAAAAAAAGAGCCAGAAATGCACTCAGGGTTACACACACAATGAAAAGACCTGCAAAACACAAAGGCACAATTAAAACTCCTGTTAAATCTGTTTCCAGTGTCATTTCTTTCTTTCATATACATTTGCTTGAAAGAAGGCTGTGAGCCATTGTCATGGCATAAAGGAAACGCTACAAAGTAGCTACAGAGCCTGTACATCATTTTGGTGACCTATAAACCCTCAAAGAGAAAACTGTCAAGACTGTTTGAAGTGACTCATAATCACCTCTTTCATTTCTAGCATGCTAATCTATTATCTACAAAGTATTGCAAGATCATTAAAATTCACCAACAATCAACTGAGAATGAAGATCCAAACAGTAAGTACAGCGCAAAGCGCTTTTACATGTGATTTGGTGGGTCCTCAGTAAAGTACCAGCCTCATTAAATCTCTAAAGTCACTTTCAGTGTTTCACAATGTAAAACCAATCCTGTACTTCTCATCCTTACACAGCAGTGGATTTACTCTCTAATCTATAATAATTTATTGCTTCTCATTCTTCTGAATGTATTTTAGGAAAGAACTGAAGATAAGAAAAAGGTGGTTCAGATGGCAGTAGGTAAGTTGGTGAGCTGTAGAAATGCCACTGTTAATGAAGCATTTGGATGCAAAACCATTTTGATTTCTCATACACACAGGGAAGTTCAACTAGATTTTAAAGAAAAAAAAAAATATGTATTTCCCATAGTGTCCTCCCTTTATATGGTTTCTGAGCTCAGCTTGACTTGATATTGGCAGCACTGAAAGACAAAGTGTGTATTTTATACCTAAATTCTGCTGAGATCTTTGGACTGGATATTTTCCTGCTTTTACTACCAACAGGGCAGAACCTGGGAGGCATCTCTAATTCAAATCATGTCAGACCTTGCATAAAATTCAGAGGCTAGTAGGCAGAAGAGGAGGAAGAGAACACCCTCTATTCTTTGACCTGAGATGGCTGAGTATTTCATCACCAATGAAAAGAATTGAGACTTAATTGTCTACTGTGCCTGAGGGAATTTGAACCCTCATCTTCCACTTCTTAGCTTTTAGCAATAAGAAACCACAGAAAGGATGCTGTCCTTCTAGTGCCTCCCAGTGAAAGGAACAACTAAAAATTTGTCAAGCCAAAGAGAACACATGATTCAGTAGCCTTATAGCCACATCTTAATGCTACTGTTGAGCCCCTTATAGCTCTCCAGCAGACATACAAATGGTGAAATACCTGATGTACAGCAAAATAGTGATCAGGAGTGACTATTGAGGACAATGAGGTATGTGTCCTAATTGGGTTTCCTTTGTTACAGAAACCAAATTCAGCTTTTGACTGTGAGCAGCACAGTCACTGGAGCCAGTCTGCTGAATTCGGTCACCTTCATGTTGGAAGTGGTGTGCATTGTGAGCTAAAACAGGGCTCTTGAAAAGAGATATCGGCTTGTTGCCCATGTTGGAATCCTACAGAGCAATGTCCAGTGATTTCTGTATTCCCCAATACTACATCTGCCATGCAGCGTAGTGTGCTGATTCACCCCTTTATCACCATGTCTTCCAGTGTGACGCCAGTTTCTCTTTTCTGAACACAGTGGGGATCTGTTAGCATTGGATCCCCTCACTGAAGGTGAATTTGAGCTACTGCATTTACACAGCAGCTTCTAAATTTAGAGATTTGGATGGCTCCTGTAATCATTTCTGTTTTCTAGCCAGAATCCAAAATCTGGATGGCAATGACAAGAGACCAGAGCAAGAAAGTGACATTATCAGCCAGGAGTCTTCTGTTCGGTCTTCAACTCCCCGAAAGAACGGCACTGTCTTGAATTTTGAATCTCCTGTGAGCAAAGGCACCAGAATACAAACCATTTCCCAGTCTGTGCCCCAAACCGTGCCCTCAACTGATGTTGCAAGACCTGTCAACACAACTCCTACAACTTCAACCTCCTTAACACCAGCTCCCTCAGTATCAAGTGTACAGAAACCAAGAAACGATCATATCACAAACAGGCAAGCCTGCTTTGGTTTTGAAACGGCATTTCTTCCAGCAGCTCCATGACATACCTGTGTTTATTTATGAAATAGCTGTGTATTTGGACTGTCTGGAGCAGTAAAACACCTGAGGAATTTTTTAAAAGCAGATTCATTCACGAGTACTATTCAGATTGCTGGTGACACCACCTCAACTCTTTTTTAATTGAGATGGGATTATAAAACTTTTTAAATTATGTAGTCGATGGAGTTTACACACACCCTCAAGCAAAGGTAAATACTAAGGTTCCCCTCAGGCATATAATTAAAATAGTTTGTGCAGGATACTGTCTCCATGAACAAGACAAACACAGTAAGAGTGAAGGAACTCTGTGCAGGTCTAGTTGTAGGACAAGCAGTTTTGGAATGAGCAGGCTGATGCTTTAAGCTACCTGTTGTGTTTTTTTCCAAGTGATCAGATAAAGAGCAGTTCTCAGAATAAGAAAAAACAGAACAAGAGCATAACTTGAGAGGTCAATTGTCTGCTGCCTTTTCCCAGGGAAGAACAAGTATCTCCTAATTTCCTAGGATATGTTTCTCAAACTGGTCCTAAAAATTTGGAACAATGCAGATTCTGTAATCTTCGCCCTTACAATTTAGTGTTTGACTTCCAGAACTATTCATTTTTTACACATTTTAATTGCATTAATAGATAAGCGTGTATCTCAATATTTCCTCCTTTTTTTTTTTTTTCCTTCCTAAAGGTACTCAACAAGCGCTGTGCATGGGAGTGCGAGTGAGCTCTGTAAAACAAAGCCCTACACACCAGTCGCTTTCAAAAAGCACACTGAAGATGTTCATTCTGAGCCTCTCTTTAGAAAAGGCATTCGGCAGGTAAATCCAGATGCTCTTGGGGCAGGGGCTCCTGTTTTTGTGGGACGTAGACCATATGCTACCAGGTACTTTCTTGTTAATGAAAATGAGTCCCGCAAAAAATCGCTCCGTTCTACCTCCCGACTTCAAAGGCACTTCAGAAAGGATGAATCGGGAGACATTATTGAGTTGTATCCACGCAGTGTCAGAAGATATGTGGTTCGAACACCACACCAGATGTATTCCCCTCATCCCAGCGAAGATGAGGAGGACGAAGAGGAACTTGGGAGAGAATTTATTGACAGATCCCATCGCCCTCGCTCCCTGTCTGATCTTCGCCCAGCACCACGATTTTACATTGGAGAACGTGCTGATGGCCATGTTCTTATGAGCAAAGATCTAGCCAGAGTGCATTACAAATCCTGGGACGATGGTTTTGAGCTAGACCTTGACAGGCCTCCGTATGCTTACAAGAAAGTTCACCTGATGAACTATCCTGAGCCGCGTGTGAAACCAAAATCAAAGCAGAAGCTGGAGCAATCTCTAACAGAATCTGATTCCATTTCCATTGAATCCAGCAGTGATCCACAGAACAGCAGTAATGACCAGTATATCCAGGTCATTCATAGCAAGGAAAAGTATCCAAAACCTGGGACAAAACTCACCAGAAAGAAATCAAAAAACAGTGTTGATCTAAATATGTCTGAGCCTAATGAACTGGTATGCTCAAATGTCTGAGAAGGTGTCCCAGCCACCTTGTGTTTTGAACAGGTGTAGGTGCATTTGTTGTACTTGCTGTTTGAGGACTATCGGAGTAACTACACCAGTCTTTGCAACAACAGCATAGGCAGCCATTCCAGGGGAGGAAAGCATAGTCAGCCTTGTGTTAACTGTATCTTGCTTTAATATCAGAACTGATACATTGCAAAATTTGGAAGAGAAAATTATTCCAATTGTTGCTTACTTTTAGGCTGTTAAAATACAAAAGCCCTGTCTACTGGGAAATCAAACGCTATGTACCTGGGGCACTTTAATTAAACCAGTACAAAAATACGTCAGATGAGGCTCTCTTTTGTCTCTTTGACACAGTCACAGCTAAAGATGCTTCCACTGAATAAATTCAGCAGGTAAGGAGCTTCCTACAAATAGAGTTGCTATTTACAGTACAATTTACGACACCTTAACATGCCTGCTTTGAATTTGGCGTAGCTCAAACAAAAGTTAATTACAGAGAATACAGTGTCCTGCACGGGCAATGGAGTCGATTGCAGCAGTGCATGCCAGCCTTCCAGATGAAATCCTAGAGCTTCTGTTAATTTTCTGGGGAGACCCCTCAGCCCAGCCTAAGCTTCGCTGCGGAGAACTTTCTATCCATGGCCTTTAAAAACTTGCTTTGTTACTCCTAATTTAATTGTCTCCTGTTCTTCACGCACCATTGCAATTTTACACCTTCTTTAGATGATGAAGACTGTTTGTTGGGTTTTTTTAATGTAATTTGGATTACACCGGGGCAGAACCGTTGGCCTTTAGCTAGAACCGCAGCGTCTCCTCCCAGT